AAGTGAAGAGAAAATGGGCTTTTAATTTGGCTTTTACTAGAACAACATTAATTAACGAGGGCCTAAAATGTACATGTCTCTAAAAGAACAATGGTGAATTGAGAAACACCCTAAAATGGACTCCAAAGAACAAGAGGAACGATTTGTACTTCTACTGAATTATAGATTTTTTTTTTAAGTATAAAAAACTAATAGAATGTTTCTGCCCAACATCTGAAAATGTCCTTTGTTTTAAATAATAATGAAAGCACAAACATTAAAAGGATACAGAGATTCCATCCTTTGGAAACTTGCTAAAGATTACTAAATACTTGTATGCATTCAGATGATTGCTGATTTATTGATAGAAGACATAAGAGTTCAATCAATCCACTTTATTTGTAAAGTGCCTTTCCTACAGGCAACACAAAGTGCTTCACAGTTCACATCACACAAAACACAACTCATCACACAAAACAAACTCCAAAATCACCATTATAAATATTATTAATATCGCAAAAATAAGTAAAAACATTAAAACATGAATGTGTTGTGGGGTGTGTGTCTGTTAACCTGTGCACAAATCAGCTTTGGGTCTAGAGCACATATTTTGGGGAGTTTGGGCTTTAGTAAATGTAGAGGAAGGAAATAGAGTTTTGGGAAACAGCTAAATAATGGAAAAATATGTGTTGAGACCATGTTTGTTTTTTTGCAATTTCACAGTGAATTGTTGAATTGCACTTTTTGTGCCTGCAGAAAATAAGGCTCCAACTTTCAATATTGTGTTTTGGAAAATGGGGGCAAAAGTTCAAGAATAAAGTCCCATTCATTGAGAAAAGGGCAGAACAGAGATTCCTTACCTCAAAATATCATAAATGTGAAATGAAGGAAATGCCACATCCAGCAATCCTGAGGACCAAATAATAAAGTCGACCTGCAAAATATATTTTAGTTTATTTTTCCCCCTTAGACTTTTGTTCTTGTTGTCAAATCTATTAAGAAAAATAAGTCAGTCAATAATAGGTTCAAGACCAGAATCAAACAAATACCTGCCAACAGCTTTTCAAAAGAAGAGCAAACTATAATTTATAGAAGAATTTATTGTTTCTAAATTTAAAACGTATGCACAACATTAAAATTCTTAGTGGAGAGGAAAAAAATTAAGCCAAAAAGAGCCAAAATAATATCAACAACAAAAATATATCAACAGGAGCGCTAGCTTTAAAATGTTTTTTTTTTTTCTAATGACAGAGGTGAAATTTCTGTCAATGCACTGCTAAAATGTTTTTTTGTTTTGTATTTTTTTGTTCAATGTCCGAGTAATACATTAAGTCAAATTCAAATGGATATTTTCTTCATTATGCTCATTTTCATTATGAATACAAGATGCAGATGACAGTGGCCATACAATGGTCAATCAAGAGAGTAATCCGCACAATGTCACACGCATCAAAAGCAATTGAATGGAAGCTCCCTGATCACTTGATCTCATTGGGCGCCCAACTTTTTAACAAGATAAATCTGAACTCAGCCACTCGTGAAAGCGCCGTACTCCCGTCTCTTGGCCTAATGCAGATTATTGTATTTCTGGTTTGAGACCGTCATAGTGATTCCTCTTGTCAATAAGATTACATTATGCAGCTGATCCAAGTTGATCCAACCAGAAATCCTAATCCCCGAGCCCACGGATGCCTGGGTTTCTAACATCCCCAATCTTCTTAGAGGGAGAGTGTGTCGCCTGCAGCCCACATGACTGACTAGTGTAAGTGCACAGACGGTGGGTGTGTGTGTGTTTGTGTGTGCGTGTGTGTGCGTGTGTATGTGCATAGAGCCAGAGCTTGTTCCACCATAGCATATTCCATACACTAATTAGTACAGGTGTCATATGAATTCAACATACTGTCCACGTACAGAGGCAGACCATTTTTGCACTTCTGTGTGATCAAAAGGCAGCTATCTCTTACAAAGACGAATGCATTTTTTAAAGAAGAAAATATTAAGACTTATTTTTGGCCATTGGCAATTATAATGAGGCGAGTTTATTTTAACAACACAGTCCACACAATGCAACTCAAAGTGCTCAACAAAACAAGAAGAATAAACACAATTGCAAATAATTACAGCACATTAAAACTGGTGTGGATACAACACAGTTAACAACAACATAAAAAAAGCATTACAAAGCATTCACGGGGCTGTGTCTTGACTAATTGATGTAAAAGATTCAAGGGAAATTCAAGAATTACAAATTTAGAAAATTTGGTCGCACACTTTTCTCCGGTTTTCCTCAAAAGTATCTTGCTGCAGTTGGATAAGGATAATTGTAAAAGATAAATGGAGACATTTATAATATAAAAAGTATAGTATGTCCATTCCTCCATTTTTTGTATGTTTGGACAAGGCATTTCCTGGTTCGCCCAAAGCTTTTTGTTGAAGCAGCAACTAAACATGTTTTACCTGGTTTTGAACATTGTCAGAGTAGAAGCCTGTCTAACATTTTCAGGAAGAGTTCCAGATTTTAGCTGCATAAATCTAATGAGACTATTTACTTTGTCCTTTCATGTTTCAGAGGGAGACTGTGTGGCCTACAGCCGACTGACTGACAGGGATTAGAGCAAAGATAGTGTTTTATTTTTGTATTGTTTATTTGTATAGCACAATACACAAGGCAGCTCAAAGTCCATCCATCCATCCATTTTCTACCCTTTAATCCATTTCTGGGTCAGGGGGGTGGCAGTCAGAGATGCCACCCAAGTCTCATAGCACCAGCCCCTCACTGGCCCTCTGCAGGTGGTGAGTCCACAGGAGGACGGCTGCTCTCTGAGTGTGAGCATAGCCTTGATCTTTCAGTGGGAGCTTTTGGGCAAAGTGGGGTTAAGTGTTGTGGTGACAGTTTTTGGAGTAATTACATAAAACCAGCCGCAGCAAATACACGGACGTCAAAGGCCTTTTATCAATGCAGAGACGCCCTTCTGACGCCATGCTGAGCTTTGTGAGGGCCCCCTGCTGTCTGTCACACCCTTGTGTCTTCCGTGTCTTGCATCTGTATGACCTGCATTTAGACCATTGTCTGTCTGTTCGCACCTCGTTCCCAGACGGCGCCAAACGCTCCCCATGCGCCTCCTCACCGGTGGCCCCCTCCAATCTGTTGTGGGCGGGACTGTCTCTCGTGTGTGTCTTGTATACAGGAAACTTGGGGCTCTGGCCCAGAGCTGGGACATGCTGCTTTTTGAGTGTATGTGTTGGCTCTCCGCACGTGCGTTAACAATAAACTTACGCTTTTGATCAGACAAAGGACCTTTGAGTTTTCTCCTTCATGGGGTATATAATTCTACAACAATTTGGCGTTGCTGACATGTCTTGGCATGGATACTTTCGGCGGGGACGAGCGGCTTTGTTTGGCCGACCTGGATCACCAGCCTCTGTTCCTTTTTGGAGACAAAGGAGGGCGCGCTCGTCCCGCGCACGGAAGGAATCCTTTTGCCACACAAGACCAAAAAGAACCTAATCTGGTGAGTCTTGTCTTTTCATCTGCGTAACGAGCCCAGGGCAGCCCTTAAGTCGACACGGGGATTTGTTTATTTATGTATTTTTTGGGGTATTTCATTCATTGCCACAGCATAGTCTGTGTGCGGGATTTTTTGGGGGCTTTTTGTTCTAGATTGAAGCTAGCGGCTGCGCGTTAGTATCGCATTGTAAGCGACCCTGGAATCTCTGAGTGTCTTCAGCCAGAACCGCTCCGTTTTCAAGAACGCGCGCTCGCTGGTTGAACCAGCGGGGGGGGGAACGGAGCGCCCCAAAGTGGGTAAGAGCAGGGAGAGACTAAGCGGGTTAGGCCCATTGTTCTGTACGAGAAAATGGGAAAATCAATCTAAAGATGCCATACCGAGGGGAATGTTAACGTCCCCCGTTACAATGGCCATGAGAAAACAGTTCGGACCTAAAGCTATGGAGGCTCTATGTCTCCGAATCAACTACGCATTTTGCGTGATAATTTAGAAGAAGAAGGGAAGAAAAAAAAATATACTTGGTTTTAAGAATATCAACGGCAAAAGAGGTTAGAGAAAGAAATATGTAAAAACAATAGCTCCTCCGCTTTTCACCGAAGCGGAGAACACACAGGCGGACACACACACACACAACCCCCACACCCCCCACACCCCCCACCCTACCGCCCTTTTTCCCCTACTAACAATAAGTGTGCACCCAAACAAGGCGTTGGGTTTTTAAAAAAAAACGAAGCAGACTACTGTTGTCTCTTTTCCCTCTCCCTTATCCAGGTCTGTCGGCGCCTCGGATTTTTATTATTGGGGGCTTTTTGTTCTAGATTGACGCTAGCGGGCTGCGCGTATAGTATCCGCATTGTAAATAAGAAGCGACCCTGTGCGGGCGGGGAGCGGTCTGGTGTCTTCAGCCAGAAACAGACGAAAAAAAAAAAAAACAGGGGGGGAAGGACAAAAAACCGCTCCATTTATCCACCAAAAGAACGCGCGCTCGCTGGTTGAAACCAGCGGGGGGGGGCACGGAGCGCCCCAAAGTGGGTAAGACAGGGAGAGACTACAGCGGGTTAGGGAGGCCCCTTGTTTCTGTAACGAGGGGGGGGGGAAAGGGAGAGGGGGGAAAAATCAATCTAAGATGCCATACCGGGAGGGGAATGTTAACGTCCCCCGTTAGCAGCGGGCCATGAGAAAACAGTTCGACTATCGTAGATGATTCTGCGTTAAGCAGCTATGGAGGCTCTATGTCTCTCTCGGAAATCAACTACGCATTTTTTGCGTGATAAACATTTGTTAGAAAGAAGAAGGGAAGAAAAAAAAAATATATGGTTTTTAAGAATATCACGGCAAAAGAGGTTAGAGAACGAAACTCGGGGACACGCGAACTCTCTACTTCTGAACGCGTACAATAGCTCCTCCCTTTTTCACCGAAGCGGAGAACACACACTCGAAAAAGTAGCCGGGGTGTGGCGGGGGGGGGGGGAGCACGACACAGGGGGGAGGGGGAGGTAGGAGCGGGGAGGGATGGGGGGGGTGGAGGGGTTAAGAGGGGGGGGGGTGGGGGGGGGGGGGGGGGGGGGTGGGGGGGGTGGGGGGGGGGGGGGGGGGGGGGGGGGGGGGGGGAGGGGAGGGGGGGGGGGGGGGGGGGGGGGATGGGATAATTCGGGGGGGGGGGGTGGGGAATGAGTATGTTAAAGGGAATTTAACGGCAAAATATTGTGAGGAATGATGGAGGGGGGGGGGGGGGGGGAGTAAATAGGAAGATGGATTATGGGGAAAATAGTTATTGTTGGGATAAATTAATTGGAGGGGGGGGGGGTTTTTTTTATGATGGGTATAGGGGGGGGGGGGGAGGGAAGGGGAAAAAACACAGGGGCGCAAGGATTGTGTTACAAGTTTAGCATGGGCTGTGGCGCGGCATTTCCCCACCCGCGCTCGGTCCGCTGCCTCAAAGCACCAGCCCGACGCCCCACCACAGGCGGCGCCCAGCATCCCTGGCCACCGCGAGAAGTAGTGGGCCCAAACCGCAGAAGAAGAAGAGGCCCGGAAACAAGACCACACTCTCAGGGAAACCACAGAAAGAAGTGGGGGAAGCAAATATTGATGACACCGACAACTGCTTTGGAGCACAAGAAAAACTGCTCCAAATCCCGTGACTGTTCCCCCGGAGGGGCAAAAGCGTTGATATACCAACCCGCACACCGCGGAAACCCCCCTTGAAAGTTGATTCCCCAGCAAAACCGCAAACAGAAGAAGCCAGTTGCATGAATCCGGCACGTTTGGTATTCGGGGGGGCAACTACACACACGGGGGGGGGGGCGGGGGCATAGTGGCGCGCGACATGCTTGTAACGGCTTTGGGCTACCTATATCCTCGGGGGCAGGGAGTGGGGGGCGGGGGGGGAGAACGTATTTGCGCGAAACTTCCAAACGGGGGGGGGGGGGGACCTCGGCGGAAAAACTTGTTGCTTGCGCGCGCTTGGGTCGATAGGACGGGGGGGTTACCGGGGGGTGGGGGGGGGGGGGGGGGGGAGGGGCCTTGAAAGGCAGAAGGGCCTCTCCATTGCTCAAACACGGGCCGGAGCGGACACGGCAGAGGCGGGCAACGGAGAAACAACGACGAACCTGACCAAACCTGGTTCACCATGAGCCGAGCGCTCCAAAACGACCGCTCATGTTAAGTTGAACAACAACAAATTGCAATCTACTGGCACCTATTTTAGAGATAATTCATGCCCGTAATATACGCTAACCATCTGTGGTGTGAGCATGTTAAAAAAATTTCTGTGATGACCCGGGGCAACAAATTCTGTGCTAAAAGTACAGCCTTTCTGTCTCCCCTAAAATGAGTGGCCCGTTACATATTCTAAGTAGCAGCGTTCGGAGAGACGACTAAAGAGCAATTTACGTCACCGCTAAACGTGTTTTGATCTCGAGGGCACACCAGCTTCAAACATTCTTTTTCTATATTCCCCCCATTGTGCCCGGTTAATATCTACTAGGCCGAGACCTTATGTGCACACTCAATTAAACATAGAGAGACTAATTTACATTTTTAATGAATCCGACCTGGCTTTATTGAAAAAGAAAAAAAATAAGGAAAATAAACATTTTTTTTAGGTGACAAGAGCTCATTAGAGATATAGGGGACACAATCTGTGATAAGCCCGAAGTATAGACCACGTGGTAAAACACTAAAGTTGGAAATGGATCCTTTTAGGAAAACTCTTTTAAAGCTCTGCAGGCTCTGAAAGTTGCAACAATAAGAAATAGCTCATGAGACAATTGGAATTGGACATGGAAAAATATAACAAAGTTAAAAGTACAGGCCTTCTGTGTGTGTTACATGTTTGTGTGTTATATGTTTTGTGTATGTTATATGTTTGTGTGTCATGTCAAAGTACACTACGTTGACCTTAACAAACCCTGGACCAATACTAACGTGGGGAATCGGCCTGTGATGTGACTGTGATATGAGTGTGATGTGAGTGTGGTGAGAAATGAGGAATGCTGAACGGAATCATGGAATAACAAATGTGTCTGTAATGTTTTAATGTGATCATGGAATAATTATTTTTTTTTGTCAACAGCATACGGTGTAAGTACTAGAGATTCAAAGATAACGACCTTTATTGAACAGGTGTAAAAGTGAGAGTACTCTGGGATGAGTACTCTGAGAAAAGTACTCTGCGGAAAGTACTCGGAGATGAAATACCTCGCTGAAGGTACTGGGAGTTCCTCCCTCTGCTGTTTGCCCTGACAGTGATTCGGTCCAACCGCAGTGAGCGGTCGTTGGGCGGAGGACAACTTTGGTTTGTAAACTCACATTTAGGGGAGTATAAAATTAGAAACATACATTTTGTTGTTCTGTATTTGGCTACAGCCTCCGCCCTGATGCCACACACCGTCTGTCAATGCAGTTATGTTTTGCCCAATTGGAAAAAAGATTGACAACGAAAGTGGGCATTTTTTGTGTTTTTTGTGTTCTAATATTTCTTTTTCAGATGAGAGATAAACTACCCCTGCTCCAGGGATGACAGTAGTATGGATCAGGAGGAAATGAGCCTCCACTTTGGCACAAAAGCCCACAATATGAATTAAGAACGATCCGGGAGAAAAGCAACTGGAGATGAACGGAACAGTAAATCTACACACACACACTAGGTCTCCCTGACCCAACGGCCATTCACTCAGACCGTGGATGAGCGATGTGGGTGCATGGTGTCGGTACTTTTGCAGTCTCACGGAGGGCCACTGAGACCCACTGCTTACTTCTCAGCAAAACTCGGTCCCGTGGCAGCAGGGTTGCCTCGCTGCCTGCGGGCTGTGGCTGCCGCTGAGAAAGCGGCCCTAGCATCACGTGACCTTGTGGGATACACTGAACTAACTTTGCTTGTGCCCCATGCTGTTTCCCTGATCCTGTTAGAGCAGAGGGCCTCTCGCCTTTCTGCGGCTCGTTGGCTGGGGTACAACACGGTGCTCTTTGAACTACGGTGAAGGGATGCACACAGCTGAACCCCTCCTCGCTGCTGCCCACGCCAGAGGAAGGGGAGGCACACTGCTGTATCGCCACAATAGAACAGATATGCACTCCCAGGCCAGACCTGAAAGAGGTGCCTCCGACTAATCCTGACTTGATTTTTTTTTATATACAGACGGAGCCGCGTCACGTGACAACACTGGGAAGAACCGAGTCGGCTATGCTGTGTGTTCTGATTTTGATACTATAGACTCTGGTAGTTTGCCCCACTACCATTCAGCACAAACCGCTGAACTGGTCGCGCCCACCGGGGCTTGTGAGCTGGCAGCGGGCAAAACTGTTAACCTATTCTGTGATACGCGCTATGGTTTCTCTGTGGTGCACGACTGGAAAGCACTGTGGAAACACCGCAATTTTATGAAATCTGATGGTAAACCAATTCTTAATTCCACACAGGTTGAACGTCTGCTGAGAGCTGTAATGTTGCCCTTAGAGATCGCTGTATGCAAATGCCAGGCCCACACTAATGCCACTGATCCCATCTCTGCAGGGAATCGGCGCGCGGACAAGGCAGCGGCATACGCACCTCTACACACACACACACACACTACCTCACTCAAGACGTTGATATTTTCTACTCCAGCAGAGACGCTGCTGTGGGAGGGGAATGGGGCTCAACGACGGCATGGTGTGTGTGGCTGGGACCAGACAGCAAACCGTGCCTACCACGGCATTTCTTCAGACAGTTTGCAATTTTAGCACATGGTCGAGACCATGCCTCAAAGGGAGGGATGATGTGTGATTTGGTCACACAGGGTTGGTATACAAAGGGGTTTACGGCATTTGCACAGAGATTCAGCCAAACATGCGCTATATGCCTCGCGCACAACCCAGGTAAGTCCCAAAAGTATCCAACAGGCTGCTCATCCTCCGCCCCTGCGCCCATTTCAACATGTCCAAAGGGACTTTGTTGAACTCACACCATGCCAAGGTAAGTAATACTGTCTGGTTCTGGCGGATCTCTGGTCCAAATGGACTGAAGTATTTGCAGGCATACACGCCACGAGCAACGCGGTGGTGAGGGCTCTGCTCACAGAAATTGTGCCACGATGGGGTGTCCCGAGGGAAAATCTCTAGGGACAATGGCAGTCACTTTGTAGCAAAAGTCATTGAGGAAGTGGGTGAATTTCTGGGCATTGATATACGTAAACACTGCAGTTACGCCCCCTGGTCCGGAGGCACGTGCGAGCGAGAGAATGGCACTCAAAGCTCTGCCGCTAGCCCCACGTTGGGCGCGGGACCCCCGAACAGAGATCTGCCAAGCACCTCTTTGTGTGATGACGACATGCTGTCCTATTGTAAGGAAATTAATGCACTTTTGTCCTCTATTTCTGCCCAGGTCAGGAGCGCCCTGCCACAGGCTGCGCAGGCGACTGGGTCCTGGTGAAGGAAACGAGACGAAAGCACTGGCGGTCCAAGCGCTGGCTCGGCCCATTCCTCGCCCTCCTGGTGACGGACACTGCCGTTAAGGTCGCGGAGAGGACAACTTGGATCCACGCCAACCACTGTCGTGCGGTGCTGCCACTGAGGGCCATAGACGAGGACACCGAGGGACCAGGCCCATCCGCGGCTCCCTACGCTGAAGAAGTTGGCCGGCGTGCGGCCACCGTCGGTGAAGCAGGCCAACAACAACACCCAGAGAATCCCAGCGTTCCCGAGGCGACCCCCCTTCTGCCCAACTCCCCAGCCCCCGGATCCCAAGGCTTGGGAGCCATGAAGGCCCTGAGCGCTCTGCTCAGCTGCAGCAAGTATGCAGAGCTGCTGCCCATTCCAAAGATTTCTCCAGAGCTTGCTCCCTCTGGCCATAATGCAGATTTGAGCTCTGTTGGAGTGCCCCCTGGTGTCTCGTCTCCCGTGTGTCCGGAGGAGGTGGAGATGAGGGCTGCTCTACAGTTCCTGATGAGGCACATGGTGAAGCGTGCTGTCATGAGGTCTCCCATCAAACGAGCTTTGGGCCTGGCCGATCTGGAGCGTGCTCAAGCCATGGTCTCCACACCCCAAACCCCGAGCACTCTGCCCAACCGAGTGCTGAGGCCAAGGCTTCAACGCAATTAGAGTCTTGCCGCTCCAAGACCAAACATCGCCATGACCACTAACGCTCCACACACGCTCATAGGGAGCGGTGCCACTGACTGCGAGACGGCACTGCTCGTGAGTATTCCCGCGGAAAAGACTACCGAACGTAGCCCGGCTAAGACCGGAATGGGCCCTTGGACTGTTATGCTGGCCACACTGACACTACTTTCCGTGCTGACCGTGTTTATTATGTTAATATTGTCTTCTCTTATCGCTGTCCGGATCCATTGTGTTATTATAATGTGCTCTTTCTTTTATTGACAAGCATGTTTCTTTTCTTGTCCACTTTGGACAGCAATAATTTAAGTGTTTCAAGCTTGAAGGTGGTGTGATTACGATGCCTCTGGTATTTAACTGATTAATGCAAAAATGGTTTTGAATTATCAAAAGAGGGGAGTGTGGTGACAGTTTTTGGAGTAATTACATAAAACCAGCCGCAGCAAATACACGGACGTCAAAGGCCTTTTATCAATGCAGAGACGCCCTTCTGACGCCATGCTGAGCTTTGTGAGGGCCCCCTGCTGTCTGTCACACCCTTGTGTCTTCCGTGTCTTGCATCTGTATGACCTGCATTTAGACCATTGTTTGTCTGTTCGCACCTCGTTCCCAGACGGCGCCAAACGCTCCCCATGCGCCTCCTCACCGGTGGCCCCCTCCAATCTGTTGTGGGCGGGACTGTCTCTCGTGTGTGTCTTGTATACAGGAAACTTGGGGCTCTGGCCCAGAGCTGGGACATGCTGCTTTTTGAGTGTATGTGTTGGCTCTCCGCACGTGCGTTAACAATAAACTTACGCTTTTGATCAGACAAAGGACCTTTGAGTTTTCTCCTTCATGGGGTATATAATTCTACAACAGTGTCTTACCCAAGGACACAA